GACGGACGGACGGACGGACGGACGGACGGACGGACGGACGGACGGACAGACAGACAGACAGACAGACAGACAGACAGACAGACAGACAGATAGATAGATAGATAGATAGATAGATAGATAGATAGATAGATAGATAGATAGATAGATAGATAGATAGATAGATAGATAGATAGACAACAAACTCCTAATAAAAATACAGTTTCAAAACAACAAATACACAAAATGTACTAAAATAAATGAACACAGGCCTGGACAACATGATTGTTTCTAACAATATTAGTAAATAAGGAACACAAGTTTACAATGAAATTATTCTTATAAAAAACTAATTCAACAGTTAAATACCTGGATATTCAGTAAGTGTAAAAACTTTATAACATATACAAACACTGTTATAGAGAATAGATTCAAAAATGACTTTTTTCTTTATAAGTTATATTCTTAAAATAAATATTTGTCATAAAACCTGAATACAAGTTCAACAAATCAAGTCACAAACAAAATCAAGTAAATTGAGGGAAAAGAGTAACAAGAATTAAAGGTTACAAAGCATAAAGTAAAAAATACACATTCTATCTTGCCAAACATTGAGACTGCATGGACTAATGTGTTTAATAACTATTTTTACATGTGTTGTTGTAATTGCAACCTCACAAACAAATTATAATGCACTTATAAAGATGTGCACTAATACGTTATTGCATATAATGACATAAAGAGTTAGAAAAAGTAGAAAATTAAAGTTTTTACTTTCTCCAACTCCTTTTCTAATGAGAAAGGTATTTTTTTAAGCTTTGTTTTGTGTTTCTGTAGCTGGACTCTGAGTCTGTTAGACATGGCACAAATAACAAGAGTGTCAAGCTTTTCTTGGATTGCTACTTTGTTTCTTTTTTAATTTTTTAATTTAATAACAATGTTGACTTTTATTATTGTTTAAAATAAGTTCTGTTTGATTTCATTATAAATATATTGTAAATGTGAATTTAATTTTAAATTGTCACCAAAAATGGAGTGGAAATTAGGAAATTAAGATTGGGGCAAAAAAACTGGTTCTCAAAGATTTTGGCTTTTGTTGAAGTACGAACATATTTAGTTTTTAAATCAATATATGATCACAGTTTTTATCCTTTTGAAACCGTTACAGCTCAACATGTTATTAGTAATCAATTTTAAGGTGAATGACTTCTGTAGACCTTCTCGTGACCCTCCACTCTGTGTTTTATGGACCGCAGTGTGGTCCCGACCCCAACTTTGGGAACCAGCGTAATAAACTGCACATTAAACACAAGCGTCAAGTTTAATGTTAGCTGGACGCAGAGCTTTGCTAATGCAGCTTAGATGATGCAGGGACAAACACAGATGATGGTCAGGTCTTCAGATGTGCTTCCTAAACTCAACAAATCATTTCATATTTCAAAAGGAACTCACCATTTTAACAAGCTGCACCTTTTAAAGACTGGTTTGATTCTTGAAAGAACTGGTGCAGACATTCAGAGAGATGAAGTGAACAAACAGTGCAGGTCAGTGAAGGTTTGTTGTAGGATGAAAGTATTCATTATAGATAAATATTTGTAATGTACTTAATATTGCTCATTTTTGAGAAGATTACTTTAATAATTTGCTGTAAAACCTAAAAAATGTAAAAAGTGTCACCATTAAATCTGAAAGTCTACATCTCCACCAGCCTCTTAAGCCTGTGGGTTAAAATTATTCCATTCTTTAATTGCAGTCGTGGGCCGCACAAAATCACCCCAAGGGCCGCAAATGGCCCTCGGGCCACACTTTGGACACCCCCGATCTATTTGCAAACACAAAGCAGATCTTTCAGAAGTTTTTATTGAATATATTGATAATAGAACAAAATGGTTGAGATCCTGTTTTCTGCATTGGCCCATGGGCTACATCTTTGCTTCGTCAGCCTCTTTGACCTTCTGCCTGTTTTGTTAAACTTCCCCGCTTCAACCCGGCTGGATTTACTGCTCAGTTCTGTCCCTTAACACATTCTGACTGTAAAGTTTACCTGCAAATGGACTCAGCAGAGCCAGTGTTTCAGTGGAAGATGTGATCCAATTAACCCCAAACTCCTGAGTCTTTCTATATTTAGCAGGGAGGACCATTGAGCTGTGCCTCTCCAGGTGTGATACAGTCTCAGCTCTGTCAGGTAATTTTAGACACTCGCATGGCCCTGGAGCAAAGCTGCCAAACATTTACACCTTCCAGCAATAACAGCCGTGTTTCTGTTCTTCCTGCTTTTTTTATGTTGTTGTCCTGCGCAGCTTTAGAGATGTGTTGTCAGGCACGTCTTGTTCTGTTCTCACGGTTTCACCGGTCCTCTTACTGCTTCTGTAAAAGCACGTATAAAATGTTCAGCATGGCATGTTGTTCACTGTCACTGTCTGTTAACTCTAATTTTCCAGGAAACGGGTGGCACGTTGGTGCAGTTGGTGGAGCTGCCACCTCTCAGCAAGAAGGTTGCTGGTTTGAATCCTGGCCGGGGCCCTTTCTGGTTGGAGTTTGCATGTTCTCTCCGTGCATGCATGTTTTTTTTCTGGGTACTCCGGTTTCTTCCCACAGACCAACAACATGCATGTTAGGCTGATTGGTAACTCTAAATTGTTCCTAGGTGTGAGTGAGAGAGTGAATGGTTGTTTGTCTCATTTGTCTCTATGTGTCCCTGTGATGGACTGGAGACCTGTCCAGGGTGTCTCCACACCTCTCGCATAGTGATTGCTGGACACGGGCACCGGCGACTCCTGTGATCCAAAATGGAAGTAACGGGTAAAAGATAATGGATGGATGGATGAAGAAAACAAACCTGTTTGATTCATCATCTCAGGGCTTTTGACTCCAATAATTTATGCTAACTTGCTAAATTTTATTTGTCAGAAACATGTTTTGTGTTCTGTTGTGTAAAAGTAGAAAAATAAAACATTTATTTAAATCAAGTTTTTTTGTCATCAGTTAACAGCACATAGCAGATCTGCAGGATCACATGACTATTGCCCTAATTATCTTTTTGTGTCTAATTAGACGTACTGTAAAAGCAGCAAAGTACAAAAGAACGCTGATTATTTACATTCTTGAAGGAAAACAAGTTGAACATGCAGCCTGGGAAGACTCTGCTGGTTTTAACAAGCTGGGTCATGTTGGGCAGCGAAAATGACAGAATGTCAAAGCAACATGGAGACTGACAACAGGGAAACGAACTGATGCATCTCCAGGATGACTCACAGTTGACTCTACTTCCACATAGACTACATATGTTAAGACGTGCTTCTGATTTGCCAAATTGTTCACAAATTAAACTCAAATGATGATTTTTACATGGATTTACACTCAGATTGTAACATGAGCACAAAACATGGCAGCAGGTTAGAACAGCAGAGAAGACATCAACAAAGCTCTGTTACAGAGCATCCATCCACTCATCCATCCATCCATCCATCCATCCATCCTCTTTACCTGTTTTTTCTTTTTGGGTCATGAGAAGTTGCTTGTCTCCAGCAGCTGCAAAAGTACTGGGGACATTTAAAAGGTGTGGTAACTATTTTAGCAAATTTACCTGTCTGTTTTAAAGACTATGAATTCCTTTAACGATTTTGACCACTACTTAAACAAATTTCAAAATAACCCTTTTTTTTTTTTTACTAGACTCACCAATGATACATTAGACTGATGTGTTCATGCAGAGCAACGTTCTGAGCCTCACAGGAGCAGATCATCACAGAAACATCCATTACCACCTTCACAAAACACCATTTACACCTGCATGTGTCCGGAGGTCCCACATGTGTGTGCTCCGATGTAGAGTTAACAGCCTTTCAGTGGCTACAAAATAATGTTGTTTCCAACATTGGCCAAGAATAAGCTAAATGACACGAGCATATCTTCTTAATGTGTGTAAATCATCTCCCATCACTAGATCAACATGCCATTTTTCCATAAAAGTCAAAAACACTGAGTAACTTGACTAGTTCATTTAAAAAAAATGTACGTTTTCATTTAGAGATGAATAAGAATCGGTTTCATCTGGTGAAATAAGCAGCTTTTAAAGATGCGTAACTTCCACAGCATCATTTAAGTTTGTAAGAAAATAATATTAGGAAGATAAACAATAAGATGAAACTCTTATGGCAACTAAAGTGTGTTATGTTACTTTATGTTACGTGAGTGTGAATAAAGACAAAAACGAAAAAGGAAAGTAAAATCAGACTGAAACAAAAGTTTTTTTTATTAAGAAAAGACAAAATTTGTCACCGTGTTGGTTGTTTCAGATAATTATAACTAAACCTTGTTCAAAACACATATATATATATATATATATATATAT